AATTAAATAATGCACTAAAGAACATAGACTAATAACATGCAAAAAGTAGACAATTTCCCCTAACGCTAACATTTTTTCTGGCTTTCTAACTATGCGATAAGAGTCATTACAAATACATCTAAACTAGTTGATAACATTCCCATGGGAACGAATCTTGTACTCTGAGTGAAACTGATGATATTCTGTTCAGAACACAACATTATAAAATACGTCATTTGATAGATGAAAATCTTGACTTTCTATTGGTTATAGGTAATATATGATTAAACGTAAGAGAGAATGTGGCAGGTGGGTGTGGCAAGAGGGGTCTGATTTTTTATCTGATAGATCTGTAACCAAACAAAATTGAAGGCTGTAAAAATTATAGTTTGTCTGAGCAATGACTGTTTTATAGGGAGTAATTTACGTTTAATTTCGTTCTTTTTGAAGGGGTGGTGTAAATGTGTCATAACAGGGAAAATTCTGGATTTTTTTAAATATTACCTTATAGTATTAAGAACTTAAATCTTATATACTATTAAAATATGTATTATTAGCTAAGATTTTATGCTATACTAATTGGTATAACATAAACAAAAATTAGTTTAATAAAATTTTGAATGTTAGACACTAAAACTTTGTGTCATGCAGTAAAGGATACCCTTGGTGATAGGGTTAAAGGAAATATGCCATCACCAAAATAGTCTTTACATATTTTTCATTTGGTTTTGCTTGGCAATTTGTAAGGTAAAAAATAGTAATACCTCTTTCAAAAAGTAAATGTTGAGAAGTTCTCATAAAAACCACTTTTTTGTGTGAAGAAGTATTACACTATTTTCATAAATAATTCTCAGTGTTTGATAGTAGGCAACAGCATGAGAAACTGATAAAAAGAAAATAGAGAAAAAATGTGCTTACATTTATCAAAAGCTTTAAACTTTTCGTGCAGTCAGAGCAGCTCAAACAGGCCTCAACAACTGACTTCTAATTCAACTTAACTGTTTTCAGGAGTAAAATAAAACTGATTTGATGATTTATTAAGTGATCAAAAAGAAAAAAATAAGAAAACCTCCAAAAACAACACTTTAGAGGTAACAAAAATTTAATCCTAAAACTGAAGTCTGATAGTGTGAAACTGCAATCTGTAATACATTGAAATGTTGGGTTTGTTCTACTATTGTCAGAAAATATTTTCTACACTCATTGACTTTTTTTTTGTATTTATGCAAGATCTTTGAATTTTAGTCTGGTATTTTTCTTTCTACAGTCTATTTCAAAGTTTACTGACTTTGTGTCATGGCTAAGAATGGAAACATTATGAAACTCCAAGAAGAAAGGGACATTGGTGTATGAAAAATAAATTAATCTTCTTATATCTTGAATTTTATGACATACTTTCAGTATAGATTTGTCAGTGAGACATTTCAGTAATATAAAATTGTTATACCATAGTTATAAAAAGCTGATTGCAATGAATCACTAGGTCATTCAACAAGACTTTCCAATCACAGATTGTTTTTTTAAAGAGTTTAGATCATCATGAACTTATAAACTATAAACATATTATGAATCATAAAAGGTTTTTCTCAAATTTCTTACATTTATTTCTGCTAGTAGAGAAACTGACATGAATGAAAAATTCTTTAGTGCAAGTTTAAAAATCAATTTTTTTCTTATGATTTAGTGTGTTTATCTTTAACCTACAAAAACTATTAATTTTAATAAATTCATAGCATCAGTAAATGATCTAAATGTTACAGGAAGAAGATGCTAGTAATTTGTTTAAGTATTATAATGATGTTGTAAAATCTCTATTAGAGTGTTGAGAGAAAACTATTTAACTTAACACAAATCACATAAATTTTAAGAAACTTAGATACTACCAGTTCCAGGGTTATGTGCCAGGAAGAAAATAGTGTGTTTCAAGTTACTTTGACTTCAAAGTAACTTGTCTACAAGACCAAGTCCAAAACATTCAACTGATCCTACCATAAATTTAAAATCACTGTATTTAAAATGTATCTGACAGCAGTATCTTTTGCATAGTAAATAGATATATATATATAAAGCTATCACTTCTTCAACTAGCGTGTTAGCTCTCTCTGTCTTGCCTGTTTCCCTTCCTGGCTCATGGCCTTGTTATCCTCTGTAAATATTGGTAATGTGTACCTATGTATTTTATTGCTAAAATTTGAAATAAAATGTTTATGTACCTCTGACATGAATTGCATTGTTTTAGTTTCTCAAATTCCTCTGGCAGCTGTAGTAAAGAACAATCATTTAGGATAACAAAGTACAGAGAAAATTGTTGTTCACCAACTACACACAGAACTAAGATGCAGATTTTTATAATATTACCAAAAGCTAGTTGCGATACATAATAGTGGAAGAACACAGGTTGATTTTTTTTCTACAGAGTAAAGCATTGTAACACTACGTTGCATTTCACTAAAGTAAGTACATAAAAAAACAGTGGTGGAAACTTCTCTGTTGTGTTGAAATTTTGTATGTTTTACATATTACACATGTGGTTTAACATACAAATATTTAGAAAAATTCTTTCAAATTCGTATAAACTATTGTCATGTATATACCACTTTTTTTTTTAGAAACAAGTGTTTTAAGGTGTGCTTTTTGTACACTTTATGCTTACCTCAGAAATCTCGTCTTTATATATACATTTTTCAACATAGAGGGGGACCTTCCGTGTCCAAACTTGTATATGTCCTACAACTAATGTGGCATGATAATCTTAAAAACCACAACTATGGTGCTCTTACAATTTCTTTCTTATTTTTTGCCATGGGTATTCAAAACGTTGTTTTTAGCATTATAAGCTTCAATCTTGCTGAGGAGTAATTAACCTGTTATATGAAAAATATATATAATAAGACTTCTTTCTGAAAAAGTATGTTTAAGTGCAAAACCAAACAATAAGCTAACTATGATATGCCTCATGAATCCCCATTTTTAGCATTATAACTCTCAAACGTAAGTAAAATTGATAATAATTACAGTTCAGGTACTTAATCTAGTTCACACCATGACAGTTGTTCATGAAAAATTGATTATATAAATAATGACCAGACCACTACTATGTCATTGTTTCCCAGCCAACCTGATGAGCCTTGGCAACCGTTTGTCATGAGGGTTTTCTGCATTATTCTTGATCCACTGAACAATTGGTTTCAAACTCATATTATTTGCCTGTGCATCTTTCAGTTTTGTGTGTGTGTTTGTCATCACCACTCATGAATATCACATCTTTGACTCTACATTGTTGTACTTTTGGTTGGTCATCTTTACTATCTTGTGCTTCTCTGTTTTCACAGTGGTCTTTGGAATTATGCATCAGCATTTCCATGGTTCCATCCAGGGAGAGGTATGATGTTAAAATTGTACTCCTGAATTTTTTTAAGCCATCTTGCCATCTGGATTACAAAACCTAACCAGTCACTTCAATACAGCATGATCTTTCTATATAGGTAATAACAGAAATGACTTTGGTCTGGAACAACACTTAGTAGCTCTCTCCAAGTTGTACAATGCATTTTTTCTGCATTATTCACTGCCTTGTTATAGTACACAATCACATGTTCTTTCCCACTAGAAAATCATTCATATTTAATATGGGTGGATCTTCCAAAGTAGGGTATGATAATACAGGAGTAGTTATCATTTCATTTTCTTTATTTGTTAAGTACTTGTGCGTAATCATCAGTCCTATAAACTTATTGAGTTTTTCAAGTAATTTCAATAGAGGACAAGCTATTTCAGAGAATTATTTTACAAAATGACAGTAGTAAGAGCACAGTCCAAGAAGTCATCTTGCTTCTTGCAAAGAATTTGGTGTTGGCCAAATTTGGGCATACTCGGTCTTTGGATCTGTAGACACTCCCTCTTTGCTGACTGTGTGTCCTAGTAAACTTATTCACACAATTCACACTTTTTAGGATTCAGCTTACAGTTATCTTTCCTCAACCAATCCAGTACTTTCCTTACCCCATCACAAGCTTTATCAAAGGTATTCTCATGTATGTTTATGTCATCCAAGTAGATGAAAATAACATTCCAATGTAGTCCAGAGAGAACATACTCCATTAGTTGTTGAAATGCAGCAGGTGCATTAGATAATTCAAATGGTAACACAAGAAACTGTCATAATCCATCCCGCAATAAAGACTGCTTTTTTTTCCCTTCTAAATGCCTGCCAATATAAAGTGTCCACAGTAGAATCAATCCTTAGCACTGCATGAGCATCCTTCTTTGTGACTTCATTCACCTTACAGTAGTTCACTCAGAACCTTGTGAATACATCTTTTTACTTCAAAAGTACAACAGGTGGTGCCTAAGGACTAGTATTCAGTTCTATTATTCCTTGTACTTTCATGGTTTCTATCTCTTTGAAAACCTCAACCTGTTTTGCAATTTGGAGTTGTCTAGTTAACTGACATATTGGGACTGCATCTCCAGTTTCAATCTTATAAGATATTTTATTTGTCTAGCCTACATCCTGAGATCCACTGGAGAAATTATCTTGGTATTTCTTGAGCTAGTCATGTAATCTATGGCATTGATCAGATACCATACTCTGGTAATATAGCTCTTGTGAGGTAGGAAGCTGTCTTTATGAGAGAATTTGACATCAGCCTTCCCACATCTTGTCTCGAAGGTGACTACTTCTGATGTTCTTTGATTTGAAAGTATACCTGTACAGCTTTACATCTTACAATGTTTCATTCAAATCTTACTCAAATATCACATTTTGTTATGTTCATGGCCCTAGTGATGACATCTTTCTTCTTTAGACCCACACGTTTTTTTCCAAACAACAATTCCTCAGGACACATTGGAGTGTTTACTACACACCCCAGTGATTGGGTATAAATTTATTCGTAATATGTCCTGGTATAAGAAATTCACTTCTTGGTATTACATTAACTGCCTTCTTTGTTGTAACCAGAAATTTAACATTATGTGTTGTAATTGTTACATAGTGCACAGGAATTTCCTGGTTGCAGACCATGAAACTGTTTGAAGCAAGTCTAACCTAGCATCCACATTTTCAGGAAGTCTATTCCCAATATTCACTTTTTTATCCACACAACATGTTGCATAGAGAATTTCCCAACTTTCTCTTGTTGGAATTTTCTAACACTGGTCACATAAATACATCTTCTTTCATCACCTCTGAATTTTCCAACTTTCGTTACCAAATGAGTTGAACTGTTGTACCTTTAAAACTATTATTGATTGACATAATGCAATATTTCCTGCCAATAATCCTGTGGACTCGTATATTGGTATATTTAAATAACGAATTTTTTATCTAAAAAAAAGATAGAGTATTCTCAGCTACTTTTTGCCCTTTATTCAGCTAATTCCTGTTTTTGTTAAGTCTGGTTAGCTTTTTGTTGATTCTTTGACTTGGTTGTACTCTGGGACTTATCATGAGGGTATTATCTCCTTGGTTTATTATCAGTTATTTATTCCTCATAGTCTCAGCTGTAAAGGCCATATGTTTTACATTTATAATTTTTCCTTTTCTTTTCTGATATCCTGTGGGAGCAGTTTTTATTTCATGAAATGTTATTTCCTCCATTCCGTGTAACTAGATCAATTAATCCTGTCAATTCTTTTAAATTATAGGCATCAGATGAAACTGATGTTTCCTTGTAACTAGATCTGATGATCCTGTAGCTTCTCGGTGGTGTCTTTAATTGTTTATCTGCAACTTCAATGGATTCAAGTTACACCATCAACTGGACAGCTTCTTTTAAATATGTACATCTATTTTGATTTAACTTAACTCATATATCCTCATCTATGAATTGGTTATGTACAACTAATCTATAATTTCACTTGAAGTGTCTGGGTAAGATAATTGGAGAAAGTTTTTCACATCCTTAAGTTCAGTTTATACCCATTTTTTCCTCTATACTGTGGTTCTGGACTTAACTGTGGAAACTTCCTTCTGGTGTGTCACTACATACCTGTTTAATAAGGCAACCACCAATGCTTGGTAGTTGTTACAGCTCTCAGCTGGAAGGATTTTTTAATGTTGTTAAGGCTGATCCTTTTAAATGGGCAGCAAGATGAAAGGTGACATAGTTTCAAAAGTATCCACTTTTATAAGTATCATTAATAACTAGTACAATTTAAAAAAAAATCAGAATTCTAGTGATGTTATCATTGAAGCCAGCTTTCTTACAGAAATATAGTGTTCCTCCAAAAAGCTTCGGTAGAGGGTGAAACAGGAATTACCAGCTAATAATAAAAAAACAATGAATATTACAGTTGAAACCTCATTGTATTTAGAACTTGGTTATAAATACAACCTGCCTAAGTCTATTGAAACACTGCATTAAAAAAACAAGCAAACAAGTAAAGAAAAACTTTATTCAAAAACGAAAGTAAATGTAGGGATGGCTAATATCAATTCTTCAAAAACAATGCAAACAAGATAGTAGGGATGGCATTTGCATTATCCCCCAAAAATAGAACAGGCAAGAATTAAAATATAGCAATACATATAACTATTCAATCACAATTAAGTTTAATTTATCCTAATTTTGTCTGTTAACATTCGAATGCACTGTGTGCCTGTGCTATTATATAGGGATGATACAAATGCCATCCCTACTATATTGTTTGCATTGTTTTTGAAGGATTGATATTAGCCATCCCTACATTTACCTCTTTTTATTTAAGTTTTTTTTCTTTACTTGGTAATATTGAGATCAGCACACAAAAACGTACACTAGTCCTTCTTTCCTCTTTTCAGGGCCATGTCTTGAATATTAGATTATATCATTTAGTGCACATTTGTCACTTGGCCGTTAAAAACTCGCACACAGTTCCATAAATAAATCATCACTTTTTCACTTGATCACATTATCTAACGTGTATTTGACATATAAAACCCTTTAATTACACTTATGATAATCTAACCAGTGATATTTTAGCGTCTAGCGTAGATGGACTTTCTTATTATACACACTGAGTGGTGAGAGATACTAAGGACTATCATCATCATGTATGATATCACGATCTATGGAAGTTAATAAATCATTCTTGTATAGATTTTTATCAAAATACTTGAACGACCAATCTAGGAGTCTGTCATTGTATTAGTTGTATATTTGTGCATGAATTTAGAATTTGTTATTCTGGGTACTCTATAACATGTAATAATTACTGAGTTTTGTATTTTTTTGTA